CATAGCACCACCCAAAGAATGACCAGCTAAGAAGAGGAGACTTGTATTCATACCTTGAGATGTCATTCCTTTTATTACTCTCTGTATACCACTCTCAATTACTAGTGGTTCCACTGTATCTAGTGGATATTCTGGAATACCAATCCATAGAGAGTATTCTGAGGTTGATTGTATTTGTTTCATCAGAGGAGCATATTGAGTAGGTTTAACTTGAGCCCCTTGCATCAGTATCAGTGCTACTTCTTCTTGTCCTTTCTTTAAAGGTTGATAAATAACATCTTCAGCTAGAGCCAATTGAAGTAGAGATAGAGATAGAATCAAGAGCAACCCTGCCATTGTCAGTGTCATGCAATGTTATGCAATAGCTACATAATCAGCATTAAGTATGAATATTGTTTAGTTGTGTTGTATATTGGATGAATAATGAGCATGTGGGGGATGAACAAAAGTACAAAAACTGTCTCATTGTATGTGAATAGACTATATAAACTATAGTCATGTACACCTATTTAATGAAACATGCAACAGACACAAAAATTATGTTTTTAAAACACTAAATTTTAGTTGAATTATTTAGTGAGTCATGCAACCTCAGTCCGTCCACATATATCCATTCCATTGCACGAGCTGGTGACATTACTTTACAGAAATGAAACCCTGCAGTTATCTTAAGAATGAAATCAGTCGGAGTACGCATTGTTGGTGATGTTACTTCTTGCACCGTCACTCCATTCTCATCTGTTTTTCGTTTGTACTCTATAGGATAATAAATCCAAATCAGTCCGTTGTTTTCCAATATATCATCTCCAAAGACCATTGGCTCTCCTAGTTTCTTGTATCTAGTCAGTGTGTTTGATCCAGCATTAGCTAGTGCCCAGGAGTAGGTATACTCATTGATTGTCTTACATATCGATCCACCATCAGTTTTATTAAAGTTGACCTTTCCCATTCCAGCTGATTCCATGACGTTCTGTCTTGACGAGAGTTTAGTTCTTATCTCACTGGCTGATGTTGGGGAAAACCCAGTATCCAATTTTCCATCTATTATTTCGTAAATACATTGACTAACTGAGGTAGTATTTAGGACACAGGAAGATGAATATACAGAACACTTGTTCAGTATTTTTGGCAAGTAGTCATGTGGATAAAATTCCGATGCTGGATAAAAGGTATCTTTATCATGTACACTGTTGTTATTAGGCAGTCCTCCCATTATAGGCTGTGAAACAATCTCACTCCAAGGGCAACCAGTAGTGCAGGCAGGACTAGGTGGATCATCATAGCAGGGTGGTTTAAAATGATAGAATCCTTCCATTTGATATGCTAGAAGTAAAGGTTTTAAGAACTCACCAGTACTATTAGCCCATTGTTGGAAATACTGAGAAGGAGTAGTCTCACCAAGCAGTATTGATTTAATGAATGATGCTGTGAGATTAGCAACAATGCTGTGAGCCTCATCGTAAGATATTTCTGGTTTCAAGTCTCTCTCTTGAACAAGGAATGGTGGAGTACCTGAGGCAAACTGCATGTGACTCATACCTTGCACTACTACTACAGGAAAAAGGTTAGGCTTGTTTCCTTGATAAGGATAAAGAATGTAATGATAATATGACTCCATCACTCGAGTTACACGAGCTAGACCATCCAGTTCACCTCCAATTGTCAGCGTTGGTGTAGGATAGGTCTGATTCTTGTATTTTCGTTCCAAGTACGACCCCATTAGTATTTGACCTTTGATACCAGTTGGATTAGAATGAACATAGTCTTGAAGCACAGCACCACCCATAGAATGACCAGCTAAGAAAAGGAGACTTGTATTCATACCTTGAGATGTCATTCCTTTTATTATTCTCTGTATACCACTCTCAATTACTAGTGGTTCCACTAAGTCTTGTGGATATTCTGGTATACCAATCCATAGAGAATATTCTGAGGTTGATTGTATTTGTTTCATCAGAGGAGCATATTGAGTAGGTTTAACTTGAGCCCCTTGCATCAGTATCAGTGCTACTTCTTCTTGTCCTTTCTTTAAAGGTTGATAGATAACATCTTCAGCTAGAGCCAACTGAAGTAGAGATAGAGATAGGATCAAGAGCAACCCTGCCATTGTCAGTGTCATGCAATGTTATGCAATAGCTACATAATCAGCATTAAGTATGAATATTGTTTAGTTGTGTTGTATATTGGATGAATAATGAGCATGTGGGGGATGAACAATAGTACAAAAACTGCCTCATTGTACGTGAATAAACTAAATAAACTATAGTCTTGTACACCTGTTCAATTAAACATGCAACAGACACAAAAATTATGTTTTTGAAACACTAAATTTTAGTTGAATTATTTAATGAGTCATGCAACCTCAGTCCGTCCACATATATCCATTCCATTGCACGTGCTGGGGATAATACTTTACAAAAGTGAAACCCTGCAGTTATCTTAAGAATGAAATCAGTCGGAGTACGCATTGTTGGTGATGTTACTTCTTGCACCGTCACTCCATTCTCATCTGTTTTTCGTTTGTACTCTATAGGATAATAAATCCAAATCAGTCCATTGTTTTCCACTATATCCTTTCCAAAGACCATTGGCTCTCCTAGTTTCTTGTATCTAGTCAGTGTGTTTGATCCAGCATTAGCTAGTGCCCAGGAGTAGGTATACTCATTGATTGTCTTACATATCGATCCACCATCAGTTTTATTAAAGTCAACCTTTCCCATTCCAGCTGATTCCATGATGTTCTGTCTTGACGAGAGTTTAGTTCTTATCTCACTGGCCGATGTTGGGAAAAACGCAGTATCCAATTTTCCATCTATTATTTCATAAATACATTGACTAACTGAGGTAGTATTTAGGACACAGGAAGATGAATATACAGGACACTTGTTCAGTATTTTTGGCAAGTAGTCATGTGGATAAAATTCCGATGCTGGATGAAAGCCATCTTTATCATGTACACTGTTCTTATTAGGCAGTCCTCCCATTATAGGCTGTGAAACAATCTCACTCCAAGGGCAACCAGTAGTGCAGGCAGGACTAGGTGGATCATCATAGCAGGGTGGTTTAAAATGATAGAATCCTTCCATTTGATATGCTAGCAGTAAAGGTTTTAGAAACTCACCAGTACTATTAGCCCATTGTTGGAAATACTGAGAAGGAGTAGTCTCACCAAGCAGTATTGATTTAATGAATGATGCCGTGAGATTAGCAACAATGCTGTGAGCCTCATCGTAAGATATTTCTGGTTTCAAGTCTCTCTCTTGAACAAGGAATGGTGGAGTACCTGATGCAAACTGCATGTGACTCATACCTTGCACTACTACTACAGGAAAGAGGTTAGGCTTGTTTCCTTGATAAGGATAAAGAGTGTAATGATAATAAGACTCCATTACTCGAGTTACACGAGCTAGACCATCCAGTTCACCTCCAATTGTCAGCGTTGGTGTAGGATAGGTCTGATTCTTGTATTTTCGTTCCAAGTACGACCCCATTAGTATTTGACCTTTGATACCAGTTGGATTAGAATGAACATAGTCTTGAAGCATAGCACCACCCAAAGAATGACCAGCTAAGAAAAGGAGGCTTGTATTCATACCTTGAGATGTCATTCCTTTTATTATTCTCTGTATACCACTCTCAATTACTAGTGGTTCCACTAAGTCTTGTGGATATTCTGGTATACCAATCCATAGAGAATATTCTGAGGTTGATTGTATTTGTTTCATCAGAGGAGCATATTGAGTAGGTTTAACTTGAGCCCCTTGCATCAGTATCAGTGCTACTTCTTCTTGTCCTTTCTTTAAAGGTTGGTAAATAACATCTTCAGCTAAAGCCAACTGAAGTAGAGTTAGAGATAGAATCAAGAGCAACCCTGCCATTGTCAGTGTCATGCAATTAATAGAGTGGGAGGAATTGAGGTGTGTCATGACATACCGTATAGGGGTTATATTTCACTGGAAATAAATTTTGCTAACTTTGCATTTTCAGTAAATTTGCGAAATTAAAAAAGAGGTGTGGCACATTAGGAAAATAACTGCAGAAGGTAGGATTCATGAAAATTTATACCAACAAATGGGAAATTTGAACAAATTTACGAAATTTTATACCAACAAAATAAAACCCCTATACAATACTTCTGTTCAGCATTACAATAAACCAATAATGAATAACTTTTAATGCAAAAATGAACACTGAACAAATAAGTTACTATCAAAAATAATTAGACGAATGTCTCTGTGATTTGTATTACGTTTGAATAGAAGCAGGAAGAGGAGGAGGAAGAGGGGGAGGGGGAGGAGGAGGAGGAGAAAAGGAAAGTGACTCATAAGATTCATTGTCTTCTGTGATTATAGATTCTTGGTTCATAAATTCATCACGTATACCATATGCTTCATTTTGTGCTGCCTGTGGCTCATCTTCTTCATTAGTAGTAGCAGATTTGTAATTACATAGCCTAGCATAATAGTATATAAGCTAGTCTATAAACTGCAGCTAGTACAAGTACCTTTTTCTGATGTATAAAAAGACAGCAACAATAATAACCACTATCACTACTATTAGCAGCAAATCAACACCATACAAAATTCCAGTGAAAGCTTCATGTGACAAGGCTATTACAATAGATTTAAGTCAATTTGATATCCCACATTATTTTGTTTATTTCCTCACCTCTGACATCTTTGGTAGGACTGGAATCTATAAATCAAATACAATTAAAAATTAACACCAAAAAAATGTAGGCATACAGATTATGCCTATATGGACTCACTAGGTAATACTTGCAGAGCCCAGGAGATAGACTCCTTATCTGTATCAAAGACTCCATCCCAGAAACATTGATATACTCCTACATTAGATGCTGAGAGATCAGTTAGTACAAGTGTATTCTTGTCATTAATCAATGGTAGTCCATTGAAGTACCACCTTAATGTAATATTAGTACCAGTAGCTGCACAATTAAAGATGATGCTTTCTGATTCAAATCGATGAAATAATGTAGAATTTGCTATCATAGAAAGTTGTGTGACAGCAAGTGGCTCTGAAATAGAGAATATATTAAGAATATACATATATGCATATAATTTGCTAACCTACAACAGTATATGCTACTTCTAACATAGAACCATGAACTGTAATACCATTATGAGTTAAAAACAAAATAAGACTAGACCTTGATGCTCCTTCATTATTGAGCCTTACTCTAAGCAAGTAATGATCTGTTGCTATAGGTTTAGCAATAGTTCCAGCAGCAGCAACTTGTGTACCACCATTTCCATTACCACTGGGATTAGTTGCAGCAATGTAATAAAATGAAACATCTTGATGAGGTGCAACAAACTGATTGGCAATCGGAGGACGATATACTAAAAACCCACCAGGTATTGTATTGACTGGAAAGAGAGAAGAGATGAATGGAGAGGACAAGGAATATAAGGAGGAGAAGGGAGCATACCTTTATTCAATGTATACTTGTAACTTGAATTCTGTGGATTAACAACATTAGTAACACCACATTTATATGTAGCAGCTACATCATCATCAACCAAATTATATATAACTAAATACTGTCCATCATCTAATAGTGTATACTTAGGACTTGTAGCACTGGCTGCATCAGGCACTATGATTTTATCATTCTTATACCATACAATGGTAGGCACAGGTCGCTGTGTCACATTACAGAATAGAGCCACTGCTTCATTCAGTTTAACTATGACAATTGTATTATCAATGTCACCAAAACCTTTAAAATCTATAACAAATAAAGATAATGCTCAAATAACAAATGGCTTTGTGTGACAACTTCAACCACTAATAAAATAATAATAATAATAACAATTATAATGAAGGAAAAAGTTTATATAGTGTGAAAAATAATATTATCCTAACTATATAAATCTACTTTAGATGCTTAAATACACTATGATTAAGCAGTTTATGATGCTAAAAGCATATTGATTGTTCACGTGAATTAACAACATTACTTACATGCTGTCTGTACTGCTCTGCTTCTAGCCACACCAAATGTATTAGTAGCAGTGCAAAAATAAGAACAATTTCTGTCATCCAAGCCTTTACTGTATCCATCTTCAGTTAGGTTAATCTTTAATGATAGTATACCCTCTTCAAGAATCTGAGTCAATTTGTCAAGAGGTGCATCAAAATTGTAACCTCTGTACCATCGAAGTACTCCTACCCCAGTACAATTTAGCTCAATGGACTGGCTGCTGATAGGAATGAAAGAATCTGGAGGGTGAATGTTAGCAGATGGAAGGGAAATACTTCCTGCAAAATTAAGAATGGGAATGAAATTGTTGCTTGATTTCACATACATGCACTATAGAACATGTTTTAAGAGCTTACCAGTGCCATTATCTGTAGCTGAAATAGTTGTAATAAGAGTTATAATGAGGAACAACATCTCGTAAACTGTAGCTATGCTATAATAGAATAATTATGATGGAAACATCCTCAAATATTGGCTAAGGAAGTTATTCTTAGGTACAGTGATCACCTCCCCCATGAATGAATAAATTCATTCAAAATTTTATTTTAAACTCAATAACCAAATATAGCACATATAGCACATTAGCTAGTTGTTGTATTTTCAATTCTAATTGTTTCATAGACTGCAGATACTGCAGTGGTACTGCCTGCAGTTCTAGATCCACTGACTGATTCTTGTTGATTTGGTTGTAATGAAGAATAGGATACATTCTCTTGTACATTAACGAGTGAATCAATTGTTGCATATGTTTTATTAGGTACTGAAGAAATTGTTGATACATCAGTTTTATTAGAAAGTATTACTTCTCCTCCAGTAATAGATTTAACTGTAATAAAAGTCATTTTTTAATTGTTGCACACTATCATGATTACCTTTTCTGATGTACAAATGCTGTATAATGATAATAACAAATGTTACAATTATACCAGTCATAGCTATACCAGCAATAGAACCACTTGATAATTCTTGTACAACCTGAGGTTGATTGTATTTGTTTCATCAGAGGAGCCAGTGCTACTTCTTGTCCTTTCTTTAAAGGTTGATAAATAACATCTTCAGCCAGAGCCAATTGAAGTAGAGATAGAGATAGAATCAAGAGCAACCCTGCCATTGTCAGTGTCATACAATTATCAGAGTGGGAGGAATTGAGGTGTGTGTCATGACATACTTCTCAACATTACATTAGTTAATGCAAAATAAATACTGATTACTGAACACAAATAAGTAGTTACATTCATAAAACAGTTAGACCAATGTTTCTGTGACTTGTATTACATTTGAATATACAGGAGGAGAAGGAGGAGGAAGAGGAGGGGATAGTGACTCATAAGAATCATCTTTTGTGATTATAGATTCTTGGTTCATAAATTTATTATGTATACCATATGCTTCATTTTGTACTGACTGTGGCTCATCTTCTTCATTAGTAGTACCAGTAGTAGATTTATTATTATTATTATCTGGAATAGCATATGAGTAAGCTAAACTATGTAAAATGTAGTATTACCTTGTCGGATAAATTTGAAGAATATAATGATCATAGACACTATCACTAATATTAGTAGCAGATTAACAGCAAACAATATTCCAATAATAGCTTCATTTGACAAGGCTATGTAATATGTATAGTCATTTTATTTGATACCAATGCATAAATTTACTTTCTCACCTCTGCTGGTAGGACTAGTACCTAAGAACAAACCAACATCATTGCATGTTACATATGATGATCACACAGTTTATAGGACATAGCTATATAGACTATTCACTCACTAGGTAATACTTGCAGAGCCCAGGAGATAGACTCCTTATCTGTATCAAAGACTCCATCCCAGAAACATTGATATACTCCTGCACTAGATGCTGTGAGATCACTTAGTACAAGTGTATTCTTGTCATTAATCAATGGTAGTCCATTGAAGTACCACCTTAATGTAATATTAGTGCCAGTAGCTGCACAAGTAAAGATGATGCTTTCTGATTCAAATCGATGAAATAATGTAGAGTTTACTGTCATAGAAAGTTGTGTGACAGTAAGTGGCTCTGAAATAGAGTGATAAAAAATATAATTACTTTTTTTATTTATATTGTATGGCTAACCTACAACAGTGTATGCTACTTCTAACATAGAACCATCAACTGTAATACCATTTTGAGTCAAAAACAAAACAAGACTAGACCTTGATGTTCCTTCATTGTTGAGCCTTACTCTAAGTAAGTAATGATCTTGTGCTGTAGAGTTAACAATATTTCCAGCAGCAGCAGCTAGTGTACCATTTCCATCATCACTGGAATTAGTTGCAGCAATGTAATAAAATGAAACATTTTGATGAGGTGCAACAAACTGATTGGCAATTGGAGGACGATATACTAAAAACCCACCAGGTATTGTATTGACTGGAAAGAAAGAAGAGATGAATAGAGAGGACAAGGAATATAAGGAGGAGAAGGGAGCATACCTTTATTCAATGTATACTTGTGACTTGAATTCTGTGGATTAACAACATTAGTAACACCACATTTATATGTAGCAGCTACATCATCATCAACCAAATTATATATAACTAAATACTGTCCATCATCTAACAATATAGACTTTGGATTTCCATTGACTGTATTAGTTACTATAATTGTGTCATTCTTATACCATACAATGGTAGGTATAGGTCGCTGTGTCACATTACAGAATAGAGCCACTGCTTCCCCTAGTCTAACTATGACTGTTGTGTTATCAATATCACCAAAACCTTTAAAATCTATGACAAAAGAATAGGGAATTTTAAAAATTATGCTAATGGTACTTATGTTTACATAAGCAGCTTTCTCACAACAATGTGTTTTTTACAAAAGCAGCTTTGTGTATTGTTGTAGAAATTTTGATGCATTCTTATGCATCTACAAAACTTATATTCAGTAAACAAGTTTACAATCTTACATGCTGTCTGTATTGTTCTACTTCTAGCCACACCAAATGTATTAGTAGCAGTGCAAAAATAAGCACGATTTCTGTCATCTGAGCCATGACTATATCCATCTTTAGTTAGGTCAATCTTTAATGACAATATACCCTCTTCAAGAAGCTGGGTCAATTTGTCAAGAGGTGCATCAAAATTGTAACCTCTGTACCATCGAAGTACCCCTACCCCAGTACAGTTTAGCTCAATGGACTGGCTGCTGATAGGAATGAAAGAATCTGGAGGGTGAATGTTAGCAGATGGAAGGGAAATACTTCCTACAAGGGGATGAAATTGTTCTTCATGTCACATACCATTAAGAACTTACGAGTCCCATTATCTGTAGCTGAAATAGTTGTAATAAGAGTAAAAAGGAGCAGCAACATCTTGTAAACTGTAACTATGCTATGATAGGAAGTTGTTTTAGGTACAGTGGCCTGACCCTCCCCCATAAATAAATTCACCTTAATTTTAAACTCAATAACCAAATATAGCACATATAGCACATTAACTGGTTGCTGTATTTTCAATTCTAATTGTTTCATAGACTGCAGGTACTGCAGTGGTACTGCCTGTAGTTCTAGATCCACTCATTGATTCTTGTTGATTTGGTTGTAATGAAGAATAAGATACATTCTCTTGTACATTAACAAGTGAATCAATTGTTGCATATGCTTCATTTGGTACTGAAGGAATTGTTGATGCATCAGTTTTATTAGAAACTATTAATTCTTCTCCAGTATTAGATTTAACTGTATGATACAAATATCAGTTATGAAATTATTGCTCACTATCCTCATTACCTTTTTTGATGTACAAATGCTGTATAATAATAATAAAGAACATGATGATTATAATTATTGTTACTATTACACCAGTGATAGCTATGCCAGCAATAGAACCACCTGATAATCCTTGTACAAAAAATAAACAACATTTTAGAATTAAACATGTACTAACCACTTGAAACTTCATTAGAAACAGATGGAGTACTAATGGTATAAACGACTGTAGTTTTTGGTGTTGGTACAATAGGACCTGTAACATAAGTAAAATTTGTCTATATGATGAACTACACAGTATCTTGATCATCTCACTTGGTGGTACATTAAGGAATCCTTCAATCATTGTTTCATTAGATGCTCCATATTGATTTAATGCTAGTGTACTTATTGATACTAGTCCACCATTAGGTATACTAATATTAATACTAACAATACTGTTAGACTGATAGTTAGTGAACTCATCTGATACACTGGTTATTAGAGATTCTGAATCAGTGATATCAACAATAAAGCTAATACTAGTGTCACCAGGAAATAGTGTGCTAAGTCTTAGTATTATGAATTCAGGTATGATGGTGGTAGAGACTATCACTGGAGATGATGGAATACCTATTGAAATCAAATTGTATTAGTAATGATCATTTACACATAGGGTTTAAGGTTTGCTATCAAAAATTATTACTAGTTAAATAATTCCCTCATATTTTTTAAAGTTGCTCAGAAATATCCTTGTACTATATAGTATAGGGTCATGAAACAAATTTCATCAAAAATGACAAGATGAGAATTCATTATTTTTACAATTTTTTTCTAATACATATACATGTTTTTTAACGACCTGGGGGCGTAGCCCCCAGGTCGTTCCTATAATTGATTTCACCCACGTGCGATGTTTGTATATATATATATATATATATTTGTATGTCCACACTTACATTTCTTCTATACATGTTGTATTGGAGAAATAACAAAATTCATAAGCCTTAGCAACCACCCGCCCACGCTCCTTACGTAGTGGGTGTGGTCACGGCAAACAAAATGGCGGCTTGAACATGGGACAAAGTGAAGTACTTTCTAACAGCAAGAGAACATAGAGATACTGTCTAAAGACTTTTCTAGAAGCATTAGAAGGCAGAGAGAGCCTCAATAAGTCTTAATAAAATCCAGTTATTATTGCAAGGTGGTGAAATCAATTATAGGAATATTTTTTACACAGTTACGCTTGTTATATTGTTTCTAAATTTTTAACTTATTCCGACCAAAATTAGATTTTTTATAAATTTTCAAAGTTGCTCAAAAATTGGGCCAAAGTCCCTGTACTGTAGTACAGTCTCATGAACCAAATTTTGCCAAAAATGACAAAGTAAAAATTCTTCATCTTAATAATTTTGTCTAATACGTATACATGTTTCTATGTTGTTTTTAAATTTTGAGCTAATTCTGACCAAAATTAATTTTTTACAAATTTTTAAGGTGTTAAAAAATTGGGCCAAAGTACAGTGTCTGGGCTAAAGTTGTCAAAA